AAATATTTGACCCTGCGATTGCGGCAACTTTTTCTCAGTGAATTAAAATTGTTGGTCACCTTCAAGTGAAATAAAAGATTTCAAAGACATAAAGAATACACTATTCTGTTCGTAGTTTTTTGTGGGGTTTCAGAGGTCAAAACCAAGGATAACAACTGCAGTATAACAGGAAGTGGACCTTGGTTATAATGGTGAAACTTTCGTGCCTGAAATTCGAGGCCCTGGCCTCAAAGTGCAAATGGGATAGAAAGCGATCGAATGAAAACCGACGAATGAGAGAAATGGCCAAATTGTACTAATGTTTCTATACTGAAAGGTCTTACCTCTTCTCTTCTTGCTATGGCGACGCCAATGACCATCTTTGCACAGGTAGCCACATAGCAAAGGAGCTCGTTACCATCCTGAAGTGCAAAGTAAACAAGTCACACGTAACGGTATCTAAGACTGAAAGAATAAAGTGAAAGGCATTGATTTCTGGTTCTGAAGCTAATCCTCAGAATATGCATGGGAATTAGCAAATGAAGTCAATGACCGAAAACCACTGCTTGACAATACGACTTTTTAATTAGAAAATTGTAAATAATAAATTGCTGTTGTCATGCTTCTTATTGTTCTACCCTTCCTTGTCAGCATCATCATGCCAAACCTAATAAGTAGACCGAATTGGAGTAATATTAGTTAAATTGCCATAAGGTATCGTTATGACCTGTGATATTTTCAGCTGGACAATTTTGCAATTCACCACGTCCATCTCCAGTGACTTCCTGTCTGACCTACATATGATTGTTCTCCTCTTCCAAAATCTGTCCCCTTCCTCTGTTCCGCTTGTTTGTCCCCCAAAAATGTTGGCCATCCCTCCTCTACTAATCCATTTCATTTGAGTACATACGTGTGTCCAAAACAGTCGCGACTACAAAAGTGAACTAGAGCCACAGTTTTTGTGTGTGGTTGACCCAGTTTCCCTTCGCGTACAATATAGCCACGCTGCTCCGAGGGCCACATGA